CGGGGTGAGGAGTATACAGACACCATTTCTCAAATATTATCCATGCTGCTTTTTCTGCCTCATTCTATCTTGCTATTTTGTTAAGTCATAAAATAAGCAGTTTCATACAAAGCTCACTCAAACCATGCTGCTATAACTTTTATTATCCACATTTTTTATCAGGTCAACTCTAATAATTAAAGAGAGACAAAATCAAAGATCAAATACATGAAATATGTATAGGTATCCCTTGAACCTTCAGACATAGGGTACTTTGAATTCAATGGATAAGCGTTTAAGAAACACTTAACATAAAATTACCTGCTAGCAGTCCATCAGTCCACATAATTAAAGGTGAACATCATTACAATCAAAACAATGATGAATTATTTAATATGTCTTCCAGTGAACATTACCAATCCAGACTGTATTAACAATGACCAAAAAAGAAAAGTCTTTGTTTTACAAGGTCCACTTTAGGAAAATTAATATCCACCATTACGAAAAAAAATTTAATCATTAATTCAAAAATATATTTTTGTGATGCTGTCATTATTTCTGTCTGCATATATCAAACATTTCGGCAGATTTCTACCATCTTTGGAGCTAGTACACAATTACACCACATGCCAATATAAAGGCAGAAAAGTATCTTTCATTATTTTATTGCAAACTTTCTAATGAGTACGCCTGACTCTAGGGTTTAGTATCTAACTGGCACTAGTATTTAATTAATCAAGTTCCAAGAATTTGATAATTAATTGATGTGCACTATAGATTACATTAGACAAAAGTTAATAACCTTCATGAGGATTGAAACAACCTTGGGAAATATTAAATAATCAGCCAGTAATAAGATATTGATGACCCAAAAATTGGCTGTGCATAGTTAATAATGGGCATCCCTGAACAGAATATCACAGCATCCATATTTAAACATAAAAGTGGGGGCATTTAGTAAAATGCAAGTCAAACAGAGCTGTGTGATGAACAATAGGTATAGTTCTTAAATTGACCCAAATGCTTTTCATGTCAGCATAGTATGAAGAAAGCGAATTTTTAAATTCGGTTTAAATTAATTTCAAAGATAATGCTGCACCCAAAGATATGGGGAGAGACAATTAACTTGGGTTGTCGTACCACATTCAAGCAAAAATAAAAGCCACAAATCAATAGTTTAAGTTATGTGACGTCATGGACAAAGCTAGTTTGAAGGTCTGCCATTGTCCCTGGTACAAGTAGGTATGGGAAGATGTAATTGTTTCAGATTAAAGTCTGATTACCACAAACAATGCCCCACATACAGGCTAATAACCACATTGGGATATATATCAAGTTTTAAAAAACAACATCAACAAAAGGTCACATTCCTTCCTTCTTTTGCCTTTAATATGTTATTTTTGCTTTCACATTATTCTAAATTACCCCTTGTTTTTTAATGCCAGACAATCTTTCTATTCTAAACTCTAGACAAAGCCACAATGCAGAAGAAAAGATTACCTTGGCACAGGGCTCGTGTAATGTTTACAGAATCACTTTCTGCCGAGCCTTAATAATGTGCACAAGTGAGTATTATATTGTAAGTGGGTTAAGGTGCCTTATCACAGCTTCATCAAGACTCCATTGCTTTTCTATTATCCCTTTTTTTTCTTTATATTCCAACTTGAAATACATGTTTTTTTCTATAAGACTGTAGGGTAATTTTCACTAATGTGTCTGAGTCTTTAACTGTATATATGTTTTAAAAGGGATTTTATTAAATGGATTTATTCACATGAAACAAGTCAGTATTTCATGATGAAATTGAGGGGGATAAATTACTTATTTCAGTTTGGAATACAGAAAAAAATGCCACTGGCAATTTTGTTGCAGAAAAGGTACTAAATATAGTTGACAGATTTCAAATTGAAAAGATAGGGCCTAGAAAATCATACATACATATGCACTAGAACTATCATGTTTGCTGACAGCCACCAAGATTCAAAATCTAATGGAATAAAAAATTATTCAGATACCACTATAAGATTCAGTGGGGAATATTGGTATATTTTTGTAAACTTTGTTGCAAAAATTTGTTAACCAAACTATTCAAAAATACACAAAGGGGCCAAATGTGATAATTCCTCAACTAATCCAGTTTTTTCATCTTATTTTGTATTTATACAATATAAGTTTGAATATCTCCCTTTAAATCAATATGATACTCAACATATATGACAGCTAGAGCACCTGTTTACCTTGTAAGAAGACACACTCATTCCATCATTGGATTTTAGATATGCTATATTATTAAGCAGGTGGAAATATCATATTAAAAGGTGAAATGTTGCCACAAAAGAAAATGCACCAAAAGTATGTAAAGAATGAAGTTGCTAAACAAATAATTTGGTGGATAACAAATTTATTGAACAAAGTTGAAAGGAAGATGCAGGTGAAGGTAGAACGATCAATCTAGATTTAATTAACTTTGTTCTACATGACACAGGGCATGTTTCCATAAGAACCATTCATTTCAATTTGATTTTTAAATCTATTTCCAACATTCACATCCTGAAGACTCATCACCGGCAATCTATAGGATGACGTAAAAAGTAGTTATTAAAATACTAAGGTGACTTTTATTGTGTTATTATTAATGCACAAGATGTTATTCATTTCTGTATTTTTCATTTTCAACACATGTATGTGTTCCTTTTTGCTGGTGCTTCATTATCCATTGTAAAACTGCCAAGAAAATTACTTCCACTGATTGCACTTATACAGTGTCAATTTTCCTGGTGTGAAATTTCAGCATTTGTATGCTTTTAATCACTTAAATCTAACATCAGTTGTGATCATTCATACAACACTCTAGTAAGGACAAAAAGGACAGAAAAAATGAACACTGATTTACAGGAGAAAGTAATAATTTGTTATGACCTCTCTGAGCAAGGAAAAGCTATAATATAAAGCCAAATTTGAGGAAACCCTGAAGATTTTAAAAAGCTGTAAATGCCATTGACAATGAAAATAGTTAAGTTACCATTAAAAAAAGAATTAACTTTCTTTAGACTAGTTATAATTTGAATAAAAAATCGGGCAGCAATTCATCAGCCTGCGGCATAGGGAGTGAGCAGTCTGCTGCACAGGCAACTGAGTGCATTTTTCCTCCGTCAAACTTCAGCTTGGTTATCAAACATGGGCGGGTCATTGCAAATAAAGTCAACAACAACAATGCCTACAGATCATCCAACTACATCATCAACCACCACCATACAGCTGGGCTTATTACTCCAAAGAATGCGTAGCTATTGTGTCGGCAAACTAGGAGACAGTGATAGTCCTTGAAAAACACCTTTGGTAATGGAACGCTACTAATCGTGAGGCGGGAGTCAAGTAGGTGCAGCACCGCTGTAAGGGCCAAGCCCTGAGTGACCAAGAGAGACGTTCCACTTGATGGCATACAAATGCACAGTTTTGTACTGGGAAGCTAAAAGTTCAATTCACAACTTCAGTCCAGATACATTAACACTGTCAGTTCAAATAACACACTCACTAAAATGGTTTAAATTGTTGCCAAATAGTTGGGTGACAGTACATTGTCACTACTTGGGGGCAATGTGACAAACTTCACTTGGGCATTCCAGTGCTTAACGACAAACAGACAGTGCTGTCTTAAGAAAAGGAAATAACATGGCTATTTTTTGCTACCTTCCCAAAGAAAACTTATTCTCAAGAGTCTTTTATACCTTTTTACAAGATTAATATACTAATTCAAGTTGGGTACGTGTACAATGGACTTCTTTTACAATTTAACCTCAAAGATAGTGTGGGTAGCATTATTAATGACTTCCAAACTAAAATGGCAACAATGCACACGTTTAATTTATAAACATTGAGGAAATAAATAAGACTGGTCTGGTCATGGTTTCCTCATCAGCTGTCTACCTGTAACAACTTCCCTGTCTCCATAGGAGGTGGACAAGTAATGATAGTGGAGCAACTGTGGGCTGGTTTACGTCTTGACACTGCAGTTACTCACTCTACATTTTAAAAACAATGATTTAGACTTATTTGAAACAAAATTAGTTTCCTGAAAGTAATTACTGAAAGAGAATGCTACCTTGTCTATTCTAAGTCCAATTATTGTTAGTCTTCCAAAGCTACATTGTACTGTATAATGCATCACAATTTCTCTGAAGAGAAGCGAGTGCGTGAGGGTGTAAAAACTGATGTGTTGTTGGCTAAATGAGTATGATGTACTTTACTAGGAGTCTCCTAACCTCATTTTATTGCAATAAACTAGCAACCATTTACGTTCTCACTATTATGACCAAAGGAACAGCAGGGGCACGGAAAATGCCTTTAATGTTAAATGGACCAAGACTCGTTGATTCATATTGTAACATTATTACTCCATTCATTCCCACTATACAGCATTTTGTTAAACAATGTGTAATTTCCTGTGCACAATGCAGATTTGCAGTGGAAGAATTCTGGGCACAAACAATTGAGGGCGACTGCGCTCAGCATTTGCACTTGTCAGATGCTGTGACACTTCCTTGGCATACATCACATTGAGGCTTGAGAACAAAGCCCGAGGAAGTGCCCAGTTCAGCGGTGGTCTGAATACAACTTCCCATAATGGAGGGCCATAATGACTATATCATTAACAAATAACAAGTCTTGATGGGAATGCAATTCACTATTGATATAAACTACATCTCTTGCTATTGATTTAATATTTTCCAACTGTAGAATGGCTGATTAATATTGCACTAGAAAGTAAAATGGACCCGACTTGAGAGGTTGCTTGAGATAGCAAGAGGGAAAGGAGGAAAAAATAGGGAAAGGTTAACATGTACTCAGGAGAAGCTTTCTTTTACCTTTAAGTTAGAATATTTTAAAAGTGATTGGTGATTTTGTTTTGTTTTGTTACTAGACAAGAAATTCAAAGATAATCAAAGTTAGACCAGACTTCTTTCAAAATCACATCTCCTCAGCACATTTTTCTCAGTTATCAACACCAGTAAGTTTTTTACCTTGAAAGTAGCTCTTGGTACGCAGGTAACTGACGCTGAGTCGAAGGATGGACAGTTTATCTAACTTGGAGATGACACTTTGTTCAAACGGTAGTAGGCTGGCCAGGTGGTCCAATTCTGCATTGAGACGCTCTCGGTGACGCTTGCTAGGGTTGCTCTTCGGTGGGTCTTTCATTGGAACTTTAACACTGAAATTTGAAAAAAATTCAATAACATTATGCCATCCAGTCATATATTAGCATTGCCCTCAAAATCATAATGGTGCGCTCACAAATACTTATCAATATTTGAAAAAGCACTTGGTTTCTCACAGTATATTCATACATAAAGATTTTTTCGACAGATGTTTATACCCGTACATTCTATTATTTTCCCTTGCTGAAATTTAAAAAATTTTCCTATTTTGATAATAAATGCAACTAAAAAAAGTAAAGTTTTGTTCCGAATAATTTATATCTGGAGGTGCAGGTAATCTGTTAAAATCTTAAGAAAATTCCATGATTTTTCTATTCACATGCACCTTCAGAAATTAAATAAAGATCCCCTCACACAGAAGCATCCCTATAATGATAGATGACTCTGAACTGATTGCCATAGTGATCAACAGTGATATCCGTTCTTCAAATAATACACATCATCTTGCACTTTTTGCCTCTGTCAGATTGAAAATTTAATAATACTACATCTTAGCAATAACAAAATGGAACTGCACCAAGAAGTCCGACCTGATCTTCTACCTGTCTGGTGCACAATCTGTTATGTATAGAGAGCGATCATTCTCAGAGCAAACATAGATGAAATCCAATGACGGATGGAATAGCACTGAGAGACTGCTTCTACCAGGACAAGAACAAATAAGGACACTTCAAGCAGTCATTCTGTCTCCGTACTTCTGTCAAATGACAGTGTTCCAGTAAGAAACAAACACTGAAGAGAGAAACCTGTTTGTGTACCGTTTTCCCCATGTTCGCCTCTCATTCTTTTGAGGAAAATGGAAATATACATGTGAAGAAAAAGAAATGTCATGACATGCAGGAAAAAAAATGTCATGACCTGTTTTGTGGGTTTTGAAATTTTTGTTTCCTCAAACAGAGTACAATGAAAATAACTTATCTGTCTGGTCCTTGCATTCTTTAAAAGAAAATAATTGCCTTGTCTTTCACTTCAAAGTCCACTTAAATGACAGAAAATAGCTTCTCCTTTAACCAAAAAAGCTGAACAAACTTACATTATCTGGCCAGACCGAAGCCAAAACTAGCTAAATAATGCAAAAATTCTGCATTGCTGAGCCCTTCCTTACATGCGCCATGCCAAAATGACACCGATTTCTGCTGAAGACTTTCTCCTGCAGCTGATTGCTTTGATGCTCTGAAGTTAATAAGTCATTCCACTTTCCAATTGCAACAGATCAGGGTGGCACCTTTTTCTATCAGCGGGGATTAGCTTGGTGCCTATGTACTTGTTCTTCATCAGAAAGGATGCCGCAATTCTCATTCTCCAAGAATCACAAGGGAAGTCACCAAATAAATAGGTCTGCCCTGGCAGCGCAGCACAGATCAAAGGGTCAGCCCAAAGAGCAAGAGGAGTAATTCTGTTTCATTTACTTTAAACCCCAATAGCTTACCTTTTCTATTTTGTTTCCTTAAATCTAATAAAGTTCTGGGAATGTGTCTCCCATGGTAACTAGGCTAGGTCATTGCGGGCTAAAGAATGATTTTTAAGAGCAAGACCCTGCATTGAAACAGGTATACCTATGGCTTATGTTCTGACTCTTTGTGTGAATTTTTGTACAACAGTGGTAAGTTACTGCATTCCCATTTTATTGGAGTATTTCCTTCAATCCTTAAAACTTCAAGAAAAGTCAACGCTTTTGAGAGCTACTTTGTATTACTTATAGACGAGCTGTCTATTAGTGCTTTTATGCATACAAAGTTATTCCCCCCAAAAATTATGAATCCATTTGAAGATTACTAGGTAAAACATTTACATGTCAAATAAAAGACTAACTTTTATGTTCAAGATAACTAAATTACCTTTCACAGTATTTATTATGGACAAAATCCTTTGACCTTCTACATGATGTATTTCAAGATGAAAATTATCTACAGAAAAAAAAATCATCGAAGATGAAAAGACACTTCTGCTACTAAAACCTAAAACCTTAATCATACAGTACCACTCAAAGAAACAAGTCTTCTCAGTACATCATGCATTTTAGGTCTGGATTACCACAATTACATACAGATGATAAAATACTTTGACATAAAACGTAAAAATCAGTTTCATAATGACGTTAGACTTTCTTGACAGATCAGTCACATACACTGAATTGAAAAGACAATACACAGAGATGGAGAAGTGTGCGTGCTTTTTTCCCTAAAATATGTATGGCATGTTCACAAAATAGCTGACAATTATCATGTCTAATTAAGTAAATGGAATCTCAAAAAAGGAGTATTTAAAAATCTGGGCTTATTTAAATTGTATGACTGGGAAGTTTGCACTAAGTAATGAGCCTCTGGACATTTACTTACAAATATTTACTTATTAGCAATTAATGATAATAAATATTAATATTTTTAAATTCCTTATACATATTTCATGTCATTAAAATAAAAAGAATAAGCATCTGAAACTTTACCCTCAGTTCCTCCAGTTATTGATTTTTACAACTGGATAAATAATGCCAAGTTGCTAATCTTGCTTCCTTATTTCCCAAGGGCATTAAAAACACTAACAATTTCTTCTTCTGATTTATTTTGCCTTCCCTTTTTATAATATCTGCTTATGATGTCACATAAAAAATTCTTGGTTACCCTATCTTTTCATCTGTGACCAATTGACTTATTTTCAATTTAGGATAAAAGATTGTGAAAAGATTTGGTGTAATTCTCTTAAGTGGCATACATTAGCCATCAAAATTTAATGATTTCCCTCAGTTGTTATTTGTCTAATACTACATAAAATATTATGCTGCGCAGTGTTTTTTTAACTCAGGGATACAAATGAGTCACAAAAACTAAAACATTACCTGTCTAGGTCATTCAAAGCCAAAAATTACCTCATTTTAGGTACATTTTAGGGGTGGAAAATCAGTCAACTATTGTGCACAACCACTTGTAAATCATTTTAGAATGAAATCATCATCAGCTGAGTGAAGACAAAATTTAAAAAAAAATATTTGAAAACTGTTCCCACAATGTTACCTTCTTTAACTTTTTACTTAAAAACCTTAACTTCATTATTTTAACATTCCAAATGTCTTAACAATATAAAGAAGAAAAAAAACCTAAATACTAAGCTCCGTTAGGTTTGCTATAGCAAAGAAAAAATTTAATCACCATATTTCTAAGAATTTTTTTAACCTTTTGAGAATACACAAAACATTTTTGAACCTTTTGAGAATACACAAAACATTTTAAAGGTGAAGTAATTCAAGCTTGCTTCATTTTTTGAAATATTTTCTAAAATCTACCCGTGCTGGGAATTTAAAGCTGTTAAATGTCTCATTTTTCCTTATGCCAGATTTGAAAAAAAAAAAAAAAATGAACAAAACTCCTCCTATTTAAATTCAAAGCAAAGATACAACAGTGGATTCCTACTGGACAACATTAATATTTGAACCTACCAAGGTTTTGCACTAACCAAATATTTCCAACAAACCACATGTTGTGATGAGGATAATCTTAATTTGACCCATCACTGTCCTGACAGTCTGGACTTGAGATTGGTCAGATAAATTCAAAATAAGCGTGTGCCTCTCTTAATTTTTCTCAGCATGACTTACAGCCCGAGGCAAAACTTAGACACCATATAAAAGTCCTACTTAGTTTTGCATGTCGATGCTATGGTCCTTGCACGCAACTTTGACTTTCCATGACACACTTCAATTACATAAACAACAACGGGTGACGACTTCTGTTCACAGTAAGTTACAAGCTTCCCTTTATGTCTACACAACACAGCATGCAATAAATGTCTTTCAAGAAGAAAAATCTTAAAATATAAATTAATAAATTATAAACAAGATGAAAACAAAAAGTTTACTTCAATAAACTGTAGTACTTTAAAATACTTTCAGGCCCATTGTTTTCTTTCTTTACATTTTCTCATCTATATGATTAAATAGAGATCTCCATAAAGCACAGGTTGTGCATCTGTGGAACAATGAGCAAGGAATGTATAATTCTAATCTCTCTCTGTAAACTAATCCATAATAAATAGTGAAAACTGAAATAAGGCAGTAGATTACAAGTAACACAGAAAGAGTTGAAAAACTAGGCACCCTCTCAACTGAGAAGTTGCATAATGATACCATGAAAATTGCAAGTTATTCAGAATTATTTAAAATCCTATGTTAATCATCTTCAGTTCATTTGAAAAGCGATAAAATAAGATTTCATTGTATTGAGAAATCATCTTTCTATAACAATTTTTTGTCCAGATCTTTTTGACATAAACTTTAATTAAAAACAAAGTAGATTTGTAAACATGTTGCCATAACTACTGGGGAAAGATCTGATATATTAAATCACTACATATACTAAATCTTAAAGATGTTTTCTTTTCACTCCTCCGTCGCCAACATTCTTAACTGTGCACAGACATTTCTGCAAGTGTAATATACTGGTCTCCATTTTGACTGACCTTCATTTTGCTCACAATATCAAACAACCAGGCGCAACAAGCAACGTACATGCAAAAAAATCTGCTGGTATAATTTTTGCTAGAATCTCAGTTGCTGGTTATTAACAATTTAGAATAAACACCCTGTGCAAAGATATTAATATTCAAGATCTTTGGTTCGGTAAAATACCACTAACACAAACCTTTTAAATGACGATTGTTTTCATAAAATCCATTTAGTTTATTTATGCGTTTCTACAAAACTTAGTTTATAGGTAATTAAAAGAAAAAGAAAGGTAAAAAAAAACAAAAAAAACTCAACACATTCCAATGCAACTCAATTTAGAAAAGACAAGCCCAATTTTGGCAGTTCACAACAATAAAAACTAAATCATGACAATTAAAGTGTTTCTTCAGTCTCCACAAACAAAGAGTTCTATTGTTTTTGAATAATGAAGATAAGTTTTTCAAAACTGCAGAGAGAAGTCTGATTATTCAATCTGCTTATGCAAGAAATCCAAAGGATGAGAGGATACTTGCCTGTAATAGCTTACTTGATAAATAGCCTATGCAAAATGCTCACCATTAGGAAAGGTTTTTCAGACAACATCTCTAAGGAATCTTGTTTTTCATGACTTCGAATAAAAATACACCTCCTTAATGTGTTTTTCCACATAGGCCAGACCTGTTTGCAACACTGAAAATATCTTTGGAGCCTTCCACACAATAGAGCTGTTTAAATAATTAATAATGTTTCAACTTTCTCAGTGTGGTGGTGGGAATTTCATTTTAGATGTACACCCACAAATACATTTAACAGCAAATTTAGAATGAACTCTGTGAATTCAAATTCAGTTTAAAGCTGATTTTTATGTTATCTTTTAAGTGAAGTACTGATTCAAAAAAAAAAAACAAAAAAAAACAAGTTGATAAAAATCACTTATGTTTTACAAATGTACCCTTAAATATTGTGGTATTCTTGTTAAATAACCAATGCCTCTTTTTTTTTTTACTTCCATCACCAAGTGACACAATAATGATATGGTTGTCATTTGATAAGAAAAAAAATCTAATAAAAATTCATTTCTATTAATCAATAAACCAAGTAGTCATATTTCAAATGAACAAAAATATCTCAATTCTCATAATTTCAATTTCAATTTCTCAAAAGTAATTTAAAATTCTAATATCTCTTATGTAAATAAACATGTGCACCAAAAATCTGATAAGTTGGCTTATTTCAAAAACAGCACAGTGGAGAGCATAAACTTAATAGTGTAATTGTAAAATTGTTGCAACAAACATCGATTCTGCTGTTCACACTTTTCCATTCATATTTCCTCAGGATTATAAGCTTAGCAGAAAGGTATAAAATTCTCAACAGGTGAAAACTAATGAAATCCCCTCTGTTAATCATTGTTCTTTCTCCCAAAACAATAAGTAAGCTAATAAGTAAGACCAAATTGGTTTCACTCTGGATTCCACAGGGTAATGGCCTTTATGCAGAAAAAAGTCCACACATATTGTTGCCAGGAACACACAATCAATTATTAAATGCTGATTGTTAACTGGGAAAATGTTGCTGAACTTAAAAAGTGCTCAGTTTTAAAACTCCATACAGTTCAAACAATAACGGCAACAGTGATACAATAAAAGATGGAGCAATGAAACAAAGAACAAAAGGGGTACAGTTTATCTTTCAGGGGTAATGACTTGCAAAAGTTTTCACTTAGTGAAATATTTTAGTAATGAGATGTGAATAGCAATGAAGCAGGACCCTATCATTATGTAAATAAATTTAATAATCTCCCCGACTCCAGTGAGTCCAGCTTTCCTACCTCTAGTACACAGGAACATAACACTCCTTGTACACCACTTCTTTGGAACACCAAACACCTTGCACAAATTACTTGTGACTGTCACCTTTTAGCATTTTGAGCAATGTGTCTGGTTTTAAATGAGAGTTGAGATCCGCATATAAGTATATTCAAAAGCTTTTGTAGTGCAATTCATCACAAGTGACGATGAGAATGGAGTAAATCCATCATTGCAGATGACCCAGCTTCTAAGTCAAAAGCTGGAAAAATTATTTTTCAAAATTTTTTTTCAAAAAATAACAACAAAGCATTCTTTCTTAAGCTCGGGTGAAATTAATTTGTTTACTAGGTACAAAACGCTAGTGTTCTAGCACACACCTGAGCATAACTTAGTGTCAAAACAAGTCTGGACAGACATCAAACATGGAGGCTAGCTGTCTATTTCACATCTCCAGTTTTCCTGATATAATCAGAGTATTACCAAGTGACATATTTATAATCATTTCTCTCTTTAGTTTACCTGCTTGATATTTAACTTGTATCTCAGAAAATTATATTTCAAAATCACAATGCAAATTTCTCCTGGTATCATTAGAAAGGAAAACTGCTGAATAATTCATAAAGCAAAAAGCTGACTAAGAGAGAGAAATCTGAGTTGCCTACAAGCATGACATCTGTCAGCATGACAATGAGATTCACTTAATCAAATCTATTTTCAATTTTGGTCTCTCATTTTCTAGAAATCATACTTATTTTCTTGTCTTTTCTGATTCACTCCCTTTGCGACATATTTATGTTGTATTTCAAAAGGCCAACTGACAGTAAATATCCATACATAACAAAATTGAACATATTGTAAATACAAACACAAAAAGCTGAAAATAGCTGCAAAATAATATAAATTTTAGAAATATTTTGTCAATCCTTTTACCTTACAAACCAATCTATCATTTGTCATAACTTACATTTACAGGAGTAGTATTTTTTATCTTTTTCGTACAACTACCTTCATAGTAGATGACACATCCAGCTACAATGCAATCTGTAAAAAATGCTTTACCACAAATGAAAAAAAAAATACATATACGTCTGATGCCAAATTCATAAGAAGAAAAATGGTTGAGACCATTTAAAAACAACTTAGTTGACCCTATTACAAACATGAGAAGAAAAAAATGTTTTTTCAATGACATTTTGTATGGTTGTTTAAATATAGGGTCAACTCCAACTATAAAGATACATCCTCATTTAGTACACTTCATAAAGACCCATCGAGCTATTCCAAGTGTACAAATAGAAAAAAAAACAGGGTTAAAAAAGGAAATTAGAAGAACCCTTTCCTGAGGTAGGAAGTAATAGCAAACCCAAAGCCTAACTAAGTCATTTCTCTGAGATATTCCACTTTTTTTTTCTTTCAATATTGCACCTGCCAGGCTTCCCATTCATTTCCCTCTTCAATACTTAAACATTAAATAATCACTATGCAGTTGATCTTGAGATCCCTGGCTTTTCTGCTTCAGGTTATACTATCACCAGAAGTCCTAGCAAAGTCAGAATCTGTGATGGGGGAATCCTGAAAAGGTATCTTCTGATCTCGAGGGTCAAAGTTATCACAGACAGTCTCTCTGCTGGAGACCCACTGTTTTCATGATAACCTCACTTAAAAGTGAAGCCTGTTGCATAATTGTTATTATCTTGGTTAAGGGGATTTTAAGTGTATCTATTCATGTAATGTCAGAATTCACTACTATCAGGGTCTTTAAAAGATATCAGTGCATTTGTTCACTGAGGAGATTGTATCATGCATTGTATATTGATCATATCTGACTTGAAATAATTCAGGAATTTTGCATAGATAGGAATCTAAAGATGCTGCAACTATGATGTAACATGCTACACATACAAATACATTTCTACTAGTAGATCAAATAATCAAGGTGCCTAGCCAATGCTCACATGCCTAACCTTAAATCTTGCTCCTAAATTGTAAAATTGTAATCTGTCACATGTACGATGCTGATCCGCTGATACATACTATATATATACTATATATACTGTATATATATATAGCATACACATATTCCTGTATCACAATGATGCATAAAAAATTCAAGGGATTCCTTGAATATAATGTTTATCACAGATCTGAATATTGAAAAAATCAAAAATACTCTAATATTGCAGAAAAATTGAAATGGTCCCTATGGTCCCCTAAAGCTGCCTCGAGGTCTTAAAAGCAGCCTCAACACTCACCTCTTTACCGTTCGCCTCCTGCGTTTGGTAGCATACATGGTCTGATGTACCCAACCGTTCTCGACCATGCAATCGAAATGGTTGCAGTGCTTGTCCTCTGTTCTGCGCCCAGTTCAATACTCCAGGTTTGGCCTAAGTTGTAAAGAAGTATGCAAATCAATGCGCAAAATCTCCCGTCAAGGACGACGAACGGGAGTTTACCCTAGATACTTATAGAACTCAGCTGAAGACTGTGGGAGAGGTCACAGTAAGTACAGCGAGTCTTTGAGTAAGGAACTCTTTAACAAGTAAGTCTCATGCTACTAGTGAGCCATGCGGATACAGTCTTATCACGGTTTTAACCGGTCAACAGTGATGTCCACTTGTTGGACTGCACTCTCTCACACCACATCTACAACACTGGCCAGTTTTAACAATCATCAACACAGCAGCTTTGACTTCTCTAGTGACAGTATGAACAGTTAAGCTCCTCCCCCTCTTTTTCTCAACCAATCACAGGGCAGAGCTCAGCATATTAACATGTCAGGTCCATAATGTTTGATTCTTGATAGTATTGTGGTGTTATGCTAGCCTCTGGCTACTGGCTTTATACCTGTGTTTCATGTCCTATTATTATCTACTGATTATCCTCTGATCACAAGCAAACATAATGTATTGTCTGCAATCTGCTGGTTACACTATCTGTTACACCAGCATTGTTGTTTTATTTACATGGCTAATGTCCCATAACTGCTATTAGAGCACTGAATAAACACTGGAGTGTTTGAATTTATTTGATTTACACTTAATCCCCAATTGACTGGATAGAGATACTCATAGTGTACTCATCTTTCCTCGTTTAAGATCACAACCTTGTAGATCTGACTGGGTGGGTAAAAAGGGCTAAAAAAGGGTACACTTTCAGAGAAAAATAGTGCCAACATCACAACATGATAAGCACAAGAGTGGGATAATTTCATTAAAGAAAATCCAATATTATAAGGTGATATAAAATTACTTGTTTCTACACCAAACCCTGTGTTATTAGTCCCTGATAGCAGTCTATTAGCATTAGAAATAGGTGGAGGGAGCATTATGCGGTGAATGCACATGTTTATGCAAGATCTGTCTGAAGATATCAAAGCATGGAGTCCTGGATCACTTTATCATACAGACTTTAGCAAATGGGTCAGAAAAGAAAAGATGTCTACACTGAAAATAATTTTTGTAAATTTTTGATGGAGGAACTTATATTTTTGAAAATGCCCATGCTGTCATCATTTTCATCGTTATTGCAAAACACACCACTGACTCTTTTTATTTCTTTCCTTTTAAGTATTATAGAATTTTTCTGCAAATTAATGCTATAATGATCTATTCCATATGTGCTTCCAATTTTCTTGTGCTATTGCAGTGAAATCTAATATATCAGCTTCATCACATAGGTTGCTGTATGTTTTTTTCTTTTATCTCCATTCAAAGGATTCAACCTAGAACTCCACTTATTTATCTTAAGATAAGGATAGGCATCTTGAAAATGCTGCCATCCATGCTGTTTATAATAGGTTCATTTTTTGGAGGTAATCCACCATAACAATCAAGGAGAATAGGTCGCCAACTGCACTTCTACAGGTGATTCAAAGGAAATTATTAATTAGGAGAAAACACAGGCTTTAACTCAGCAAGAGGTTCAGAAATTGTAGGTAAGTCTGATTGCTAAGGTGATTAAGCCCTCAAGTCAAAACTACACATTGGTAATTAAACAACCCAACAAGCCAGTAAATTCACCGAGGCATCTGTTCTCTTTTTCATACTCTGACAATTATTTCTCAACTCTGATCCTTTCTCTGGAAAGGGAAAAAAAGAATTAATTGCATTGGTAGCAATTATTTTTCCATCTTTTTTATAACAGTACCATAGTTTTGTCAATGCTCCCAAAACATTTTCTTCCTGGCCCTGCTATTCTTGTCTCAAATTTCAATATTGATTTTTTAAAACTAACAACAACGAAGATGGCAAATGAATGCGAGTTCTCCAGGATCCTTGTAGGAAAAATTAGCATCCTTTAGAGCAAAAAAGAGGACAATGGAACTAAGATTGGTTAAAGAAAGTGCATGCAAATCAATAGTTGCTTGGGAAGAACACAATCAGGGAGACATGAACAAAGGCATGGAAGAACTAGTAATGTGCAGTCCCACTTTCGCTTACACAACTAAAGCGATATCGCAGTATTTCTCACTTTTGCATCATCTCCTTCACAATATGGGTTCTGAAAATGAGAGGCAAATTAATATGCCCGAATCTAATTGTGTCAAGTTTTGAAAGAAGGTCATCTGGCGCATTCGGCTTCTTGTTTGGTAGGTGGTCTGACATAATTATAAGTCACTACTACAGGGAACAATTCTATCAATAGAAGGGGTTGGGGTTTCTACTGACAGGTGCTCCTGGAGTATTAAATCTTCATAGCAGGTAACAAAACCTTCATTTAGTGCTGATAACATACGGTCACTTGTTGAGGAATATAGAAAGTTCTGGGCAATATATCAATGAATAAATAAAAGGAGGGAACTTATAAATGTAATGTATCTTAATTATAGAAAAATATTTAAAATCACTTGTAAAATGTGTAACTTAGTATATTTCAGCAGCACATGTTCATAGTTGACAAACCGAGAGAGAGAGAGAGAGAGAGAGAGAGAGAGAGAGAGAGAGAGAGAACTTATAAACTTCAATGGATTGCTTTATGAAGTACAATCATCAAACAGTTGTTTCTCTTGATTTTGAGAAAGAGAAAGAGAGAGAGAGAGAGAGAGAATGAGAGAGAGAGAACTTATAAACTTTAATGGATTGCTTTACGAAGTACAATCATCAAACAGTTGTCTCTCTTAATTTTTATCATGACCCATATGTAGTAATATTCTTTATAAAAAAAAAAAAAAAAAGAAACAGAAAGAAAAAAAAATGAACCATCATTGTTTTGGAAATCAAAACACTGCACATATAAATATATAATCTAGATTTTTAGCATTAAATATGAACAGCTACACTGCATCATATCAAGCACAGCTGAATGTAACAATAGTGCAGTATGTTACAGCAGATCATACTCTGCATTGCTTAAGTGGAATACAAATTGTTTCAGCAGGGCAACAAAGGTCTTGTGTGTTCTGCTCTGATGTTCTCTTTTGCTATTTATTCAACATGGTACCAATGAGTATGGGTTTGAAAAAAATATAAAACAAATCCAACAATTCCATATAAGCAATGTTAGTAATAAATTATGAAACGTTCGTGTTTGTTCATCGATTTGTTCAATACATGACTTTAATCGTAATTCCCCTATTTTTTTAAAAAGTATGTGAATCAAAGGTTACCATTGTCAGCGACATAAATGTTTTACTCACAAGTTGTTTTCAGGTTTTGGGACCAGCTTTAGTCACAGTTCAATTAGTCATTCACAAAACATGTAATATTATCAATAATGATCATCTGCACTGTTATCATATAGACATTTATAAATAAATAAACATGTATGCAAGTAATAGATAACTGGAATAAAGTACATTAAACAGTATAAACTAATTTTTAACCTAGTTTGCTAGCATTTGACTTACGCCTCTTGGAGCTCACTGCCATGTCCAAGTGTAATGAAATCTGACATTTTGTCATAAACTAGTCAGAAAATGTGGTTTCATTTCCTTTATCTAATACTCCTTAATTTTTTAAAAGAAAAAACAACCGGTAGTTATTCTGCACTTTTATTAAAATAAAATCAAATTGGAACATGTTCAATAAATTTAAGAGACTAAATATCCCAGAAATAGATTTAATAAATTTCTATTTCAGCAAAATTTATTACAATGGTTTTCAAACAGAAAAGTTCAAAAATCCTTAACTCAAACACTGTGTGATTAATCTTAATAAAAGGCAAATCATAATTTATGTTTGATAGTTAATTTGAAATTGATATGTAAATATATGTGTAAACAACCTTCAGGTTACTAAACATATAAAGGCATTAATCGAACTTACATTTAAAGAAATTTTAGCTTATAAGTCATAACCTAATGGATCAGTTTATTGCTTTTAAATAGAAAATACCAGAAAAATACAACTTTACAAGCTGTTTTTATAATACATGTTTTTACAGTAACAATACACATATATTATAAATGTATCTTTATATACAAATAATTCTCATCTAGTTTTTTTCGCTTCGTTTTACACACACCCATGTAAGATTGTGCAAATTTGCCCCAGTTCTTTTAGTGCATTGTGGAAATTTATTTGCAGTGCAAATTCAATCAGACTTCAATTTTAATACCTGAAAATTACCTCAAGGGATTGCAATCAATATAAAGATATCACGCAATCCCACAAGAACCAGAGACAGGAAGTGGAATTGGGTGCAAAACTTTCCTCCAGAATTTTCATTTTATGTTCAAACATTAAGATATTTTGTGAAGGTTAAAATATGTAACATTCTTAAGTTTAAATAAAAAGCTGTTTTCAAAATAATGAGAATGGGGAGACTATCAAAAGGAAAAACTTTCTGCCAGAATTTCTAAGTAATCTAATTTCTATCTAAATAATATAGTAATAATACATATTTTGTAAAGGTTGAGGGAATATTCTTAAATTAAAGGCCAATCTGGATTTTTTTTTTTTGATAGGTGAGAATAGGGAAAATCATTAAAATGGAAAAAAACTATCCCCTAGAATTTTCCATTTTGATAATTTTAAAGCTATAAATCCTGTAAAGGATGAAGAGACTTTTTAAGAATATGATGGAACTGGGAGGACAATTGAAAGGAGTTTTTTACTTAACAATTTTTTTAAATTCAACACTGTTTTTTTTTCCATTTTTGACAATAATTTTAATTCAACATAGATTACTTTCTGACAATGAATTAATCACTGAAATGTAAAATAGTTTTCATCTTCTAAAATTCAGTCATTATTATATAACAAACAATTCACTCTTAGTTTTAAAAAATCTAATCTACATACAGTAATCAACCAAGAATTTTTTTCATTTGAATACTTTTAGGGAGCACAGAGAAAGCAAACACACTTTCCAGAAATGTTTTGATTAAATCTTATTGTAAAAAGAGGTTTACATGGGCAAAAGTTGTAAAAACTGATAATCCTGAAAATTTAAATGGGATCAGGGGGCACAAGGTCCTTGTCAGTTCCAGGGCAAAGAATGAAGAAAAAAATCCAGAAATCCAGCACAATCTGGAAAACTTTCACCATGGGTTAACCTTAATTTTTAAAAGTTAGTCCAAAGTTATATTCAAACTAAAATAATAATAATAATAATAATAATATGATAAAGAAGAAAATGAAAACTGCCACATTTCTGTTTACAAAATATTTAAAATAAGAGGCACAATAACTCTTTTTATTGTCCCTAGAAAATAAGTTTACAACTGAATAATTATTTAAAAGCTTTGCTTTCTCTCATATAAATTCCGTGCTTCTTCATCTATCTTTTCACTCATAATAACATAAACAAAGCAGATTTTTTTTCACAATCATAATATAGAAATAATTAAACAA